TGAGTGGTCTCTTTCCATATGTTGTCCTGTACTGTGTAGTAAATGACAGCGTTGGAGAGAGTGTCCTGGAGGGTCTTGCCTCCCAATGAGTATATGGCATCCTCTGTGGACACAGACACTAACGTGTGGTGCAGACGGTCCCGGGGCAGAGGGGCGCAGCGCTCCCAGTCCATAGTGTGCATGTTGCATTTCCACATGCGTCGCGGTATGGAGCCCCCTACAACATATAGATCAGCCCCATGCTTGCAGGCAGCTGTGATCTGGTGACACAAGCTGTTCTGGCCGCTGACACTGATGGTGTCGTCCTCATCACAATGAAGAGACACTGCCAAAGAGTGTGTGCGTGTGTCTTCCTTCCCAATTAAGTATATGTGCACTTTTTCACCAATCTCCTATAACACAACAAAGTCAACAATGAGCATGCAAACAATATTATACTAATAAACAACAGCTGTGCATTCTGCTTGTCAATATTTTAAAGTGACCAGCTAGGTAAAATGATCTAGCTGGTTAACATAGATTTTCTGGAAGTTTCAAGAATGATTTTTGATAGTACCACAAAGTAGGAAAAAGTTTTACCATGTATGCCATAATTTTCCAGTAAAGCGTTTAGGAATTTATGGAGTTTCTTGTATAATTATAATAACTATATAATTTTCAAAAAAAAAAAAAAAAAAAAAAGAACAATTGATAAAAAATGATTATATTATACATTATTTTAAAACTGCAAATGTTATACATTTACAAATATATATATATATATATATAAAAAATTCAAATTCAATTCAATTTATAATTTTTTTGTGTTAGGAACAATTTTGGGAGGATGAGTACTAGAAATCTTAACTACAGACCTGACTGAGCCAGTGAAAGAAAATCAATAAATAAACAAACCTTTTGTAAATATATAACTAAAACAGTTGAGCCCTGAATATGTTTTCATCTAAAGAATACAGAATATCAATAGAGCATTAAAGGTAAATTATTGCTTAAAATATTGTGTAATACCCATTTTATCTATCACTAACCTTTAGGCTGTCTAGAAGCATATCAGAATATTCCTCTCGTTCAACTTTGTTGTGATTTATCCAAGATTCAATAGCTGCAGTTGGATTTTGTGAGCTTGGCACACCATCTAAAGAAGCAGATACAAATTACAGACACAAGTTAACATTATTTCTGACTCTTTCTGATCACAATCTCTCATCTAAAGTGAAACCAATTTGCCATTCATTCACCTTTAATGATATCCACGAGAAGGCACAATGGCAAGTTCAGGAACTCTTCTGTCTGGTGCAGCTGAATCAGGTGAATCTTCGCACAGTGCTTGGCAGCTGTATACAACTCCTGGTCACTGTGTCTGTCCGCCAACCACATCACCTGAAATAAAAAGTGGTCAACAGTTTTCTACTCATTCAGCTGACTTTTATCAAAGCATTTTTTGTGTATAGTAGTTAATAACACCGAAGGTTTCACCTGGAGGCAGTTCTTGATATCCACAGTTCTTGACAGGAAGCGAGAGCACTCCTCAAACAGGGCAGTGAGCTGATACATATCAGCCATCTCATAAGTGTCCTGCAGATCTTCAACCCTTAGTTTGATGGTCCCATGGTAGATGTAGTCCACCAGTGACTGGAAGACTGGTGCACTGACATCCTTCAGCTCAATATTACGCTCAAAAGCTTCTCTAAGGTTAGAGGTGAACATGGACCTAAAGAAGCTGCTTTGTGCTGAGAGCACCAGGCGGTGAAGCTGGAACTTTTTGCTGTCCACAGTGATGGTGACGTCTGCAAACAACCCATCCTCCAGACACAAGTCCATGATGCTCTTCACAACACGACTGGAATGGGAGTGATCGGTGAAGGTGTAGCCCTGGAAGTAGTTTTCATCCCCTGATGGACCTCCAACACCGTCTTCACCGGACTCCATGGCCCCTTTAATCTAAAGCAGCTTCACCTGAATACTAGATAAATGACTTACTGGGTCAGCTGTCTCTCATGTAGTTTTAATTGTTGAATGGCAGGATGGGATTTGCCTTGGGATATAATTCGCTAAAACTGCTGTCAGATTGATGCAAATCCATATGTAGAATTATTTATGAAACTGCTGCATGCTATCTACACAAAAAATATTTCATACAGTTTAATGAGATATTTATAATGATTTTGCATTGATACGGTTCCACCAGAACCGACTTGGTACTTAAATCAGCGTTAAAATTGACTGAGCAGTTTGCTCAGTCAAATTATGTCCATCTATGGTAACGTTAAACTAGCCAGCGGTGCAGCTAATGCTAACTTAAGCCATCTAGATTAAGGTCTGGGTAACATTCACCATCCTAATGAATCCACAATCGAACGCAGGAGAAAACAACGTGTCATATGTAAAACTGTAGACAGCACATGCGCGTTATCGTTAATAAATGTTAGCATGTGTTAAATCTTTGCCATACCAGAAGACTGCTTGTGAGCCTCAGGAAGTAAACAGAACGTTTTTCGAGGTGACGTCACCGCGTGTTTACGTGACTCTCTGCTGCCCCCGTGTGTTGGAGGCCTGTGATTGCAATGCATATCAATATATATATATTTAACGTTACATATTTTAAACGTATTCTCAAATAACTTAATTAGCATTTCATTAAGCTATAGTACACAATATCATCTTACATTTATTTACTATAAAAAGGAAACGGATATAAGTCACTATCACTTGTAGTCGCATTTTTACTCTCCCAGTTTGGCTCAAATGGTCTTTTTCCGCAGGTGGAAAAATGCGACGCACTAAGGACTGACTCGGGAATCCCGTTTTTGTGGGGCTAAAACGGATGACGACTGAAAGCTGCGTGAATCAAGTGCAGGTTTATTTTTGTGGCAATGTTGTTGACTCAGATCAAAGTTGTATGGGTTGTCCTGTGTCTCATTGGCTTCAGGGAGCCCTGGAAAACCTCAGGTAAAGATTTTTGAACTTAACGTGAGGACATGTGCAATGCTTCTGTTTAAATACTTAAATCGTTGTTGTTATACACTTTTATTTAGATTGTAATCATATGTGCAGACTTGTTTTCCTTGTGATCATAGTAGTAGTACTTGGTTTTCCAGCGCCGGGCACTTCTGTGGCATGTTGGACATGATTTCTGCCAATCGTGACGTCAGAATCGCATATTTTCCCTCTTTAAATTCTGCGAGCACTGCTTGATGCTTAAAACTTTGATTTTGTATTATTCATACTCAGTTTATCATGGCATTGCTCACATAGCACTGACCAATAGCTCAGGCTTGTTTGTCTTACTGCTTTCCACCGAACTCATGAGTCTGTGTGCTGTCATGCAGATGTTTCAGCTGTCCTGCACGGAGGACTCGCACATCAAGGGTTTATCAGATCTGTAAGTGATGCTAACCTGATGTTTGAGGTAAGAAGGTATAGCCATAATACATTCCACACAGCACTACAAGCCACAATGAATTTGACCACGTATTAATGTACATTAATCGAATTCACTATTGTAGGGAAAACACTGATTTATTTCAAAGATCAGTTAAACTATAGGCTATGGCAGTGTGTCACTGGAATGATAAAATGTATCTTAAATACACTCTGACACGCTTGTTTATGACCATTTTTAATATAAAACTTAATAGACTTTAGTGATTTACATAACATGTTATGCAGATATTTGTTCTACATTTCATCTAAAATATTTCAAAAATGTCTCATTTGTACATAATTGTTATGCATGCAGATTTTATAACACTGTATTGAGAGACTACATGGAATATTTAATCAGTTCTCACACTCCAGGACTATTTAAGCAAAATGCAGATAAATACTACGATTATAATCTTACGATCTAACTAAACTACAAATATAGACAAATGCTGAAGAAACAACTCTACGGAGCCCTGAAGGGCACATGGTGATGGAAAAAATGAGATAGAAGGAATTAAAACAAATAATAATAATAATAATAATAATCATGTAATTATATTTTCTGAATTTGCAAGCAAAACTTTTGTGTTCCCCAAGAAACTTTGCATTCACTCTCAAAAACTTTTGCATTTCCTCAAGACATTTTTAATATGAGGTGGAAGAAAAAAAAAACTACATTTCAGTGCTGTTGAGAGCAAAGGCACGTTTGAACACAATACTTAAAATAAAAATAAAAAAACGTTTTGCAAGCAAACAGGAGCTCATTTTTTTCCAATCACCACATCCTTTAACAGGCTCCATACCATACAGATCAGCTCACTATTTTTTTTTTAATCCTAGTTCTTATGGAGAGGACTGGAGATTGATGTCGACAATAATGTTGTCATGCAGGATCAAGAAATTGCATCTATGCGACAAGGGCGAGCTTTCTTATCTCTCATAAACGACAGTATCCCAAAGACTGTGTCTGCAATGGAGAAGTTACTGGCTATGCTGGAAGAGCAAGACAAGTCTTTCACTCAGGCCCGTTTTGAGACCCTCCTCCTCGGGACTATCTATTCAGCCTACCAGGCACGAAATCAGAGGCTGGAGTCAGAGCAGCAGGCCTGGATGGATATTCTTGGTCGTTTTGCAAATGTTACATTCGTTCAGCTACGCAAGTCTTAACTAGCAATAAACATACCAGTGATTCACGAGTTCACACTTCAGAAAATCAGATGAAGAGTGTGCATATTTGGCGTACTATCCGAGGGGAGGACTCTGAGCTCGGAATTTGGCCCGAACCCAGAGTACTCCCCCATATCCTAGGCTGGGATAGGAAAAGTCAAGAGGGATGAGGGATGCTGGAAAACAGTCAAGGCACAGAGGTTTAGTCGGCTATATATATATATGAAGGTGTTCCTCCTGAACTTTGTTAAATAAACATAATTTAAAGTAACATCCTGATTATTTGTACCTGGTTTATATGACTCAAAGAACAGTTTGTAAAGAATATGAACCTCTTATTACACTAATAAAGACACATAACATGAAGATTTTAATGTAAAAAAGTACAAAAGTTTATTTTGATCAGAATATACATATTTTAGGACCTATAAAAGGTAACAAAACAAGTCCTTAGTTTAATTTTTGTTGTTCCAGGATTTATATATTGACATGAGACTGAGACCTTAAGTATCTAGTTTTAAAGCTCAAGTGTGTATTCTCTCTCACTTTTTCTTTGCTTTTGATGTCTTGCATTCTGTCTTGCTCTTGGTCTTTGACTTGGTCTCTGTTGATGACAGTGATGACAGCTTTTTCTTGAGCTTGGCATCATCAGCAGCTGCTCTTCTGTCTCTATTCGTATGCTGCTGAGTGCGATGCTGGGATCTGGAGGTTCCAGGTCTGCCTCCACTGTCCTCCACTTTCTCCACTGTCTGTTTCCGATTAACACTGTTCAGTGTGTCCTCTCGGTTCCAGATCAAAATGTTATAGCCTGTAATTAAAGTTTACAACTTTCTGAATTAATTAAATCGTCTATCAGTCCTGACTACTATGATTATAAACAGTAAATTATATTTTACCCATTCCAGAAGCCAGCACATCTCCAGCTGGACTAAACTTGTTGAGCTGAAATAAAATAAACATGAGATATTATAGTGGTTCCTGCAATCAGATATCAAGTCCACCTACGATTATATATATACATTTATTTTGTAATTAAATTACGTAACGCCGTTACATGTAACTAGTTACTCCCCAACACTGTATATTATATATATTAAAGAAGTGTCTTATGGTTGCCAAGGCTATGATAATTTTATGAAAAATACATTAAAAACAGTAATATTGTGAAATATTTTACAATAGCTGTTTTCTGTTTTAATATATTTTAAAATGTAATTTATTTCTGTGATGGCAAAGCTACATTTTCAGCAGTCATTACTTCAGTCTTCAGCGTCACATGATCCTTCTGAAAACATAATATGCTGATTTGGTACTCAAGAAACATTTTTATCAATGTTTACAACTGTGCCTTAATATTTTTGGGGAAATCATGATCATTTTTTCTTCATTATTTAATGAATAGAAAATTCAAAAGAACAGCAATAGAAATCTTTTGTAATATTCTAAATGTCTTCACTCTCACTTTTGATCAATTTACTGCATCCTCACTGAATTAAAGCATTCATTTCTTTAAAAAAAAATCTTACTGACTCCAAACTTTTGAGTGGTAATGTATATAATTTTAGGAATCCTAATCATTAACATTATATATTTTTTTAATATTTAAAAGAAGAAGAAAAAACATTCTTACAGATATGATACCAGCAGCATTGGGGTCTCTCAGCTGATGCACAATCCCACCACTGTTGGCATCATAAATGTCAATAGTTCTCTTGTCATTGACTAATACTTGATCATCTGGGTAACGGCCAGCCACGATGAGGTCATACATGGGATGCCAGGTTGCCTGATGGAAAAAAAAAATGAGCAAAACTAAACTCTATGATGCCAATAGTGCTGGATCACTAATATGCCTGTAAACTTGATTACAACATAAACAACTTGGAAAGTTTGCAGTTTAGGCTAAAGGAACTCTTACCTTGATGGGTGTTAAGTGCTGGAACTGTCGATGAGGATGAATAATTATTTGATAAGGTTTAGACCAGTCATATGAACAATATACCCTGAGCTGGTTCCTCTGGTCTGTAGTAAGGAGCTTGGTGCTGTCTGTTGGATTAAAGTACACTGAAAGAAAAAGAACATTCATTTCAATTTATTTGCATTGTACAGTTGAGAGACATTTTTTTTATTACTTCTTCCCCTTTTTACTGATTATATAGCCTCTCACCAGAATTGACTGGTTTTTCATGAGGCAATTCAGCGATATAACTGCTTTTGTCTTTAATATTTCTGAGGTCCCACAGCTTGACTGTAGCATCAACAGAGGATGTAGCCATCAGCCAATCACAACGAGGGTTGAATTCTGCATGGGTCACTTTGGCTTTGTGCAGCTTCTCTTTGAAAATCTAAATGTTTTCGAAAATATATATATCAGACAGCTTTATTCTTGATTTTGGCTATGAGAATTGATTTAGACATTTCCCTCACTTACCTCATGTCCATCCAGGCCAAGCAGAAGAAGTCGTCCAGTATTGTCTCCAGTCACAAGCATTTGACGACTAACAGACACGTCCAAACAGCAGTACCAGTAACTGGGAGAGTGACATTTGTGGCATTAAAACTATACACAAATACATCTTCACATAATATCCAATTTATACTGGATATAATGGCAGTGAAATACACACACACACACATATATACAGTGGTGTGAAAAAGTGTTGGACCCCTTCCTGATTTCTTATTTTTTTGCACGTTTGTCACACTTTAATGTGTCAGATCATCAAACATATTTAAATATTAGTCGAAGATAACACAAGTAAACACAACATGCAGTTTTTAAATTAAGGTTTTTCTTTTACTAATATTTAAATTTGTTTGATGATCTGAAACATTAAAGTGTGACAAACATGCAAAAAAATAATAAATCAGGAAGGGTATATATATTTATATATATATATAAATCAACAATCGCTCTATACTGCATGCTGAAAGGCAACTGTTTTTACAGAGCAGCAATATGAAATACTGAACATAAACATGCATTATGTAAATATGTAAAGTATATTTGATTTCCCAACACTGCAGGGCAATCCACAAGAGTTCACACAAGCACTGTCCTCACCAAAGATCATGGTGGTCATGGCCACAATCTGGGGTTCGAGACAATATCTGACTTTGGAGGCCCTCAAAACTCTGCACGCTTACTGTGCCATCACCAGAAGCAACAAAGATTTTGGACACATCTGTGAGGCAGAACTTCATCCCCCCTATAAAGTCACCAGCTCCCTTCTGCATGGACTCAATAGACAAACACAGGCTTGTTAGATCTACATACAGGGAGGACTATGGGTTGAACATGATTAAAGATTTATACAGCAACTAAACCGACACAAAAACATGAAGGAAATAAAGACAAACAATGTTCTTCAACACAGCCAATAACACACCAACATTCACAATACATTCCACAAATATTGAAGGACAACGTTAATGACAAAACAGATTTATCTTAGATAACCTAAAGTCTAATAGAACATTACGTTTAATTAAAAGCAGAATAATCAATGACAAAGCACAATGAGCATACTGTCACACATACAATCAAATGATTTCATCTTCTGATCTATCACAGGGTTTATCTAACTTCATACCAATCAGGAGACCAAAATATGCACGAATAGAATACATTTAATGCCCTCTTTATATATGGCATGGAACTCAATTTTATATCTTGGTAACACTAAAACTGTGTTAAATTTCAAACACAGGCAAGTTCCTCTATATTTAAGAGCCAACTGAATCAAACACTGATAACTGATGTTGAACTTGCACACTTACTGTACTATAATTCAGGTGAATAAACAGAAATGGACAAGGATCAGATCAAATTAAGGAAAAATGCTTGTTTAAAGCATTTCAAATCTCTGTCTGGTCTATGTTTCTTTGAAAGCAAATGGGAGAACAGCCATAACTGCTAATAAAGGAACTCGCTTACTCCCATGAATTTGTTTTGGCAAAGACTTGTACAACCGATCCACTGAAATCCCGAAGGGTGGTAGCACCCCAAATAGATGAGGTGAACAGCTGATTGGTATTGAATTGGTTAAACTTCATGCCTGATATTGCATCTCCAGGTCCCATCTGGACGAACAGAGGAGAAAATCTCAGCAGTTGCCAAAATTGCATCTTTTACAATTATCTACTGCAATCTGTGTATATATGCAAATGCTAAAATTTACCTTTACACAGGTACAAAGCTGTCACTGGGGCAGTACCCTAAGGTACAAAAGCTAAAAGGTACATCTTTGTACCTTATTTACCCCTAAATGGTACATATATGTACCGTTTGAAAGCGCCCCAGTGACAGTTTTGTCCCTTTTTTCTGAGAGTGTACTGTACTCTTACTTAAGAGTTTTACTCAAGAGTACTCTTGTTTAATAGTATATAATACTACTTAGCTATTTATGCATTTTATTTATTTTTAAGTGAGTAAACTGTGTATATTAGTAAACTATACTGCAGAGGAAAACAGTATACATGTCACAATAATTTGATATTACTGAAATCCCAAAAGTATTTGGACACTTAACTGACACCTAAATTGTATGTATGTCATTGCATTAGATAAATATTAAACCAAGTTGCATCTGCGAACAAATGATGCTAGACATTTTTAAAAAAGTAACTTCACTTTCCTGAGTCATGCTTGCAAATTCAACTAGGAAGTGTCCAAATACTTCTTGTCTTCTTTTTGAACAGTATATTCTTCACTTCAGTTCAGCTTAATCTCACCCCCTGTATGAAGGTTCTCTTATTCAGCATATCATAATCCCACAGGATGATGTCTCCACCCTTGGAGCCCACTGCAACAGTGGTGGGATGGGTGGGATGCCATTCCAGGCAAGTGACCCTCCGATCAAAGGGACTTGCTGTGCGGTGAAGTTTGTAGGTTCCAAGTGAGCGTACAAAAGGCTCTTGCAGACACTATAACACAAGGAAGAGTTGCTACATAGTACTGTAATGTTTGAAGTTGGTGGGTTCTTGCACAAATTTTCTATAAAGTGCACAGTGCACTGGCAATAGGCCATAGCATATATATTTGCCTGTGTTATGTGCTTGTCATCACCTGGCGCAGTTGAGCATGGATGCTCTGTCCCAAGGAGCTTTTGTAAATGTAGTGAAGGATACTTGTTTGGCCTACTTTCTTTTGACCTCCAATACATTTGACACTTGCTTGTATGTAGGTTTCTGTTACATTACACAAATACAGTTTAGCCCTTTAGAAAATGTATATTTGTGACTGGTTGGTGAATGGAAAACGTTTTTTCCATTCATAAATGAAACTTTTTGCATATTTAAACAAAACTTTGTAATTACTCATAACTCGTCGATTTGCTCACCCGTTTTTGATGCTGTCTTGCCTTCTTGTTTGGCTTTCAGCTTCTTGGAGAGTGTTTGATGTTGTTCTTCATTCGGTCTTTTCTTTGAATTGACGTTCATCGTCTGCTTCGATGCAGAGGAATCTGTCCGAGCCCTTCCTCGCGCCAGTTAAAGTCTACTTTCTTGTTTGAAAGAGGTCAACAAAACATGTGAAATGCATCACTGTTACACATAAAGATAAACTGTAGATACGATCCGATCGACTGGAATCATGCACTTTCTTGCTTACCTGCAAATGTAAAACGATCTGCATTACATTCATCGCCGGATCGGGAAATCCTCAGAGGTCAACACCGCTACATGTGCACAAACATGTATTTTGACTACATTCAGTGACGTATGAAACCGACTGTTTTGTAATCGTTGCGCGCAATACAGAATGTATCCACTAGATGCCACTAAATGTAGGCAAGTATTAACATGCTTTGAGCAAATCATGCACATGCTTTTTTTTATTATTATTTTTTTAAATATGCCTTTAGTTTATTTACATTTTTATTTTTCAAAGATACGAAAATATACTGCGCTAGAAATATTCATAAATTCCTGGCACCTTCGCTGTTTAGTGTACAAACATAGTGCCTAAAAACTCAACTGCAATTGGTCAGTGAAAGAGGTGCTTAACCTTTATAGAATGTTGATCACCGCCTCAGTTCAAACCAATATTTTATATATACCAATATAATTTAGATTTAAAAAATCTTTCAAAAAAGACACTACTAACATCTGCAAAAGTAGACCACTTCTTTGATGGGCGTAGCGTTGTGCTTGTAGCGTTTTGGATACGGCGCGTTCATGAGTGTTTGCTGGCCAATCACAGAAGCCCACAGGGACCTACAGCCAACGAAAACAAAGAAAGGCATGTTTTCCCCTCCCACTCGCTACTCATTGTCAGGAGGGAAAAATCAAACATTCACTGTATGTTGTTTATTCAGTTAACACACTAAACGTCGAAAGCACATATACATCTAAAGGTAAGACTTGAGATGCATAGGCCTATATTAATAAAAACGGCTGTCTTTTGGGAACATTTTTTTAGTTTTGTAATGAATGGTAGGTAGGCATTTTATTAGGTAGGCTATATCATTGATTCGCAGTCTTTATTTTTTACAACCGCTATGAAGGACAAATAATTATTCAAGAATTTTGCCTGGCATTTTCAGTGTAAACTTGATCCACGTGTTATTCATTATGATTGATGAGCTTCACTTTAAAAGTGCATAAACTGTTGTGTGCACAGAAATAATATTTTTGTAATATATCAGCTTTGGTGTGATGTTCACACTTTTTTTTCCCTCTGTAAAACAATCAGTAGCCTATTTGAAATGCGTATGCTAAAAACAATCACTGCTTTCCACCACCGTGACCGTGTAATGTACTGAAGTACATGTTTGGTTGGATTCACTAGTTAAAACATTTCTTCCACACATAAACATGTATGCTTTGACTTTTTTGTGCCAAGTTCATAGTGTTCTAGTTTACTGTAGCCGCCAAATGCAACAAAACTGTACTTCATCATTATTCACTATATAATGATATTGCCCAGTGCAGGTAATTAGTTACATTTACTTGTTATATTATCAGTTTAAGTATTTTTGTGCTCTTTGCACACAACAAAGATTAGGGACCCAATATGAGGTTTATTTATATTCATGTATTCTATGGAATACATTTTTCTCACAATATGAGCTCTGATACACCAGTCACATGTTATCTTTAGGATTTAACACATCCCTCAATTTTCTGTTGAACAATGATTAATCTATTGAAGGTTTTACTGCCTAACAATAAAAGTGTCAAGCTACTGTATATTCAGCTGGTAAAGATTTATGTGATTTTTTCCCCCTCAGCTCCCCTTCCCAGTCTAAGTTAATGTTCTACTAACACTTTTGATTTTGAGGTAGAGATGGTGATGTTCAGGTAGCCGTTTTTCAGTCAGAATAAATATGAGAATAATAGAGTTTAATGATTAAATTTGTGTTTATTCAGGCAGGTAAAATTGCGGCCACAAGGTTTATGACTAGGGTTAGATAACTCTGTCTATTGCACTGATGCTCATAACAGCTTAATGAAAGGCTGTTGGAGAAGTGTTTAGTTAAACAGCAACACGTTCTTACATTTTAATTAGTTTTCATGTGTTTTCCCACATAAACAGCTTTATGTTTAAGATTTATGGATTTCAAATGTTGTATTGAAATGGTTAACTCCCATAGGCACACTTAGGAAGGAGTTTTATAGAAACATCCTGAGTTGGTGACTGGACTGTGAGATATTATGATAAAGAAGAACACTAAAGAAGTCCAGCAGTCACAAAGAATCAAGGAACTCTGTAGATGGCTGACGGTCTCTCCACCTTGTGATTTCTGGAGCCTTCCTCTACTATGCTCAATCTCATCAAGCTACCTCAAGTGTTCACCATCAACCAAGTTCCAAAAGTAAGTTTTTCAATGCTGATGTTAATTTGCAAGAAATGGCATTGTTTTGCAATGTTGAATGTGTTGTATACTGGTTGTATACTTATCATGTCAGTCATGAACTATTAAAGCAGATACATTAAATTGATAAATATGATTTTCAAATGACTATTTGTTTCATTGTATAGGTCTTCCATGAGGATGGCATCATTTCAGGGTATCGCCACCCATGCAGCTCTGCCAAAGACTGTGTGCTTAGTCTATTCCAGCTAACAAATGAAACCCTCAATATTTGGACTCATTTTCTGCCTACATGATAAATTCATTTTCAGCATTCATCTTTTGGTACATTTACATTGTTAAAATGAAGACAAAATTAAGAATTTCATTTGAGCTTCCTACAAGATTAACTAAATTATACTTTAAACTCATTGTATTGAAGACTGAACTCCACATTACTCATGTAGAGTAAAACATTAGAGAGGTTGCAGAAAACTTGAGACAGTTTGTCATAGAGCCTTCTGCAAGATCAACTTAATTGTTGCCACTTTAATTTAAACTTCAAACTATTTATAATGTGCTGAAAACTTGCAAATATTTACTAATATTAAAATAAAAAAATACTTTTTATTGCAAGAGCATTGATGCCTCTGCTGTACCACAGCTATTGATGCATGCTTGAGTTTTTAGAATGTAAAGAAATAGATTTTTTTAGCAAGGTTTTTCTTATGGAAACTGCTGACGGTAGTGTTGGTGAAGGATGACTGGCAGGATCCTTTCACCTGGCCCTTTCTGGTGTTCCTGTTGTCATGCTGTTTGTACCCACTTGCTTCCAGCTGTGCTCATACCTTCAGTACCATGTCAGAACGAGCCAGGCACATCTGCTTCTTCTTTGATTATGGAGCACTCAGCTTCTACAGCCTTGGTATGTAGAGGAACTATTGGGTAAAATATAGTTATATACTTATGTCTTAATTTACCTACATTTTTTTGTTTGTGTAATTGATCAACAACAGGGTCTGCCATCACCTACTCCTCTTACTCATTTCCAGATAAATGGGTTATTAGCACATTTCACAAATATTATGTTCCTATAGCTGTTGTTAACTCTGTAATCTCCACTGCACTGGCCTGCTACTCAAGGTAGGATAAGTAATTAATAAATCAAAAGTTGGTATATTCTAACCTGCTAATTTTGACCTCAATAGTATTAAATGGTAAAAAAACATTTTAAGGACTAAACACTTGTATTTCTTTGTTTTTAGACTTGGTTTACCATTTTTTTATTATAATTATCACAGCATTAAAAGGTCATTTCTGTATTTCACTTCTGCAGCTTAATCTTGACATCTAAAAAATTAAAAAATAATTTTCAGTAAATAAACTGTATTCTCTTTTAGGTGTTCTGGGAAATTAAATCAAAAACTGTAAATGTCTACGGATAATCGTCTTTTATCTATCCATATCTCTGACAACATCCCTCTCTTTTATAGAGTAAGTGTTTTGGGTTATTTCAAATTTTTTGGGAAAAAATGAACTCATTGTTTTGGCTGTATGTGAAATGTGAATAAATTGAACAAAGGTCATTTATTTAAAATACTTTTGATTGGACTTCCTGCCTTCTTTTGTAGATCTTTGTGTGCAATGGTGAGGGTTGCACTGTTAATGAGGCCAGTACTGTTCACTATCAGCACACGTCATTGGCTGTCCTCACTGGCTTTCTTTTTGCCACACACCTGCCTGAACGCTTGGCTCCTGGCAGTTTTGACTACATAGGTACAATTACAGATACCTGCATTCTCTTTAAACTAAGAATCAGGAATTCAGTTGGTTTGATACTGGTATGATGCTTTCAAACCTCAGTAAACTATTAATTCTAAACTGTGGTTCTTTAATGCATCCTTCACAGGCCACAGTCATCAGCTTTTCCACGTATTCGCTATTATTGGCACACATTTCCAGATGACTGCCATTGAACTTGACATGGCTACATGAAAGCAGTGGCTTCATGCTCAGTATATGTCTTCAGTCTGGGACTTTTCTCTACTAGAGGTGTGAAAGACAAATTAATTTGAATTGTGACATTTGATAAGCTTACTCAGGGCAACTAAGTTAGTTACCCTTAAACCTGAGTAAATATATGTTGTATATATTGTAGCCATGTGTTCAATGGAAACAATTTTATGAATGGCCCGAGAACATTTTATTTAGACTGTATAATTTAGTTTGTATGTTTGATTAATGTTTTTGTAATGAGGGTGTCATTTGCGTTCTCTACTTCTAATCACATGCTTGACATTTGCACAATTTCAAAGCACATTTCTATTTTTTTGATGCACATGAATCAGATATCGTTTTTACAAGTGCCTTTTTTATAATCAGTCTTTGAAAACTGTATGTGTACAATCTTTATCTTTCTTATAAATAAATCTTGTTAATATGTAACGTTTTGTTATTTTTACTAAATAAAACTGCAATGAAAACTATTTGATCTAGTTTTTATATATTTTTTTATATAATGTAGATTACTAGGCCTATATATGTTTATTTTAACATTATTACTATATATTTAGTTTAACATGCTATATACTATTTTTATATTAATACTTTTATATATTAACCGTTAAACACAAGCAGACAGTTGTTTGTCGGCAAAAAAAAGCTACGCATGCTGTTTCTCCGGATAAAACCGGAAATTGTCAACAGAATATCAGGCGGAGCTTAGGGCGGGACATCCGGTCGCCTAAAGCGTGGCTGAGCTCGCTGATTGGTCACATTTGAAAAATCTGTTACTGACGCAGTGGAGGGAACGTTTGAACTTCGAATTTTGTATACGGACAAGAAGGCAACGGCGTCGCGGAATTAAACTAAAACACCTCAACATGATTAGGCAAGCGTAAGTGTTTTATACCTATTTTCTACTGTAGTTATATTACACCGATAATGAATTTTTAAAGACCCGTTTATTAACATATAAGCGAGTTTGTTTTCATATGAAAGTCTTTGAGTGGTTTTAGCAGACATCTGTTAACTAGTTGGTGTTACTCACCGCCCGTCGCGTTTACTTAACGTTATTAATCCATTGTTTGTACTTTAGGCTCAGTTCATAATCCCGCTTTACGTCTTACGTTTTCTGTTTATTTCAGTAGTTTGATTATTTGTTATCCCTATTATCAACTAACGTTATGTTATGTTGTTTAACGTTACGTTATGTTGTTTATGTTGGTAAAAATCAGTGAAGTAATGAGCTGATTGCATTTTCCTATCATAACTCCGAAAGTGTATAGATAGTTAGGATTCTCTTTCAACCATGCTCGTTTTACTTGAACTATAACGTTACTTGTTTGTTGAGTGATGTATGAATTTTTCGGTTTGTAACAGGAAGGGCAAGACCCCCCGCCGCCCTCCTCCAAAAAAGCCTTCCAACAACCAGAAGGACCCTGTTGGAGTATGTTGTAACTTTTTGTTCGCATTAGGATAATGACAATCATGATCAGCATATTAATTCGATATGTGTTTGCAGGTGTATTGTCGCGTGCGGCCACTGGGTGCAGAAGATGAGGAATGCTGTATTGAGGTTATAAGCAACACCACCATTCAGCTACATGCCCCTGATGGGCTCAAAGCCAACAGAAATGGTGAATTCAAAGAGGTGAGTGCCTGTCTGCTCTCATATTGCCAATTAGGATGATTTAAAACACAATTTTCTTCTAATTTTTATTAGGAGTTATGTCATACCTCTCCAGTCCTGTTTGACTTATTTTTCTGTGCAACACAAAGGCGGATTTTGTGTATTGGTAGCACTTTTCTATATCATGAAAGTTTAAGAGTATTAGGGTTGCCAGACTTTAAAAGTGCCAGTAAAAGCACCATAAACATGGTCAGTATGACTTGTTTGCTGTTTTGAGTCTGCAAAACTTTGTATAATTTTTGTGCTGCTTGGAATGGTCAAGGTCTAGAACAACATGAAAACAAAACTATTCCTTTGAAGCTTATGCAGGGTTTATGTGGGTCTTGGTGTTAATTTGCCCTTCCATAAATTAAGGCCTTAAATAGATCTTACATTGTAAAGGCCCGTTCACACCAAGAACGATAACTATAAAGATAACTATATTAGCATCCACACCAGCGGACGATATTGTCTGTTTATTCCAAGCGTACACTCGTCTGCCGCTTTAAACTCTCAAGCTCATTATAGCAGGATTGATTGTGATTGGCTGTTAGTTTTTTATCGTTCATCAGCTGGAAAATTTTTTTCTGAAAGTGATTCCAATGATGTTGTTTCTCTGTGCCTTTATCGTTATAGCTGTGGTGTGGACTCTGCTATTCTTTAATATTGAGAACGATTTTTGGAACTATATCTTTATCGTTATCGTCCTTGGTGTGAACAGGCCTTAAGTCTTAAATTCATAAAGTTGTGGCATTAAATTTGCAGATGCAAAATAAAGATATGAAGCCTTGTTTTCTGAGGAATTGAACAATAAGATAATTTAATCAAATCTTTTAATGGGGTATTAAAACTAGTTAAATTAAGTGTATTTTTCTGAGCCCGCTGGCAGATATTTGTTCGTTTTAAGCATAAACTCACAGTTTCTCAAAACAAGACATATTATGTAATTTTGCTTTTTAAGTAAATGTATTTTGATGTAAGAATCTTTAAACTTTTTTTGCATGTACAGTAAAAGTTATGGTTATTTCCATATTGTAGTGGTTGGGAACAGTTATTCAAGCCACTTTTTTTTCTCTCTTTTTCAATTCATTTTTGTACAATGAATTGAAGTATTGGAGGTTTGTTGGTTGTATTTTTATACTTTGAAATATTACTAATACAACTCATTATGTGCTTCCTAGATGTTCATTTACATATTGATGTGTTATAATCCCTTTAACTATGATGAACAATAATTGTCTTCTAGACACAATATTCCTTCAAAAAAGTGTTTGGAATTAAAACGACACAGAGGGAATTATTTGAAGATGTTGCCAAACCTCTAGTAGAAGACCTCATTCACTGTAAAAATGGTAAATATACTTTTCTGTGTGCTTGTAGATGATGATGATGATTTATTATTATTTAAAAACACTCCGACTGACAGCAGTTTTCTTTTTAAACTAGGTCTGTTGTTCACCTACGGTGTCACTGGCAGTGGTAAAACGTACACAATGACTGGCTCACCTGGTCAAGGTGGGCTGCTCCCACGTTCACTCGACATGATCTTCAACAGCATCGGCCCCTACCAGGCCAAGAGATATGTAAGCAAATTCATCAAGTACTTTTATTCAGTTATGTAAAATTAATTTTCCATCCTTGAACTATCTTGATGTTTCCCTCATCAGGTTTTCAAGCCTGATGATAAAAATGGCATGGAGGTACAGAATCAGGTAGATGCGCTCTTGGACCGACAGAAGCGAGACAGCCAGACATCTGTACCAAAGACCCCAACAACAAGGTTAATTCAAGTAAATAAAGGTGCAGTAGGAGATCTTGGAAAATGCTAACTTTAGCCTGACAGCACTGAAAGCGAACGTCCCACCCTCCCTGCAATCGCCGTCCAAAGCCACGCCCCCTGAACGCTTTTACGCTCACAGACCAGAGACAACATTCCTACAATAGGCTACATCAGCAGTGCCCATGTTCCGAAGTGATGTAAACTTAAACGGAGGTAGGGATCATATTGATCGGAACACAGTTCATGCACGTAGTTCACTTCTAACGAGCTGGCGCGAGGACTAGATTAACCGCTGGGCTACATCATGTGTCACTCACCGGTGAGAAAACTTTTAAAGTACTATACCAGGAAGGAAGATCGGGTTGTTTATGTTTGTCTGCCATTGCCTGACGTATCCTGTCTGCGCGAACCGGGTGCGCAGAGGTATGCTAATACATACGTTGACAGGCAGGTAGGGAAAGCATATTAAAACGCTCGGAGCGAGCGTTTTGATTGGACATTTATTTCTTGATCCTGCGCCTTCCACAGAATATATAAATACAGACAAATACATTTAGACCACTTAACTTAATGATTGCTATCGGGATGTGAAGAGACTTTCAACCAGCATAACAAAAAATGTTTCTGAAGACAAACACCTATTGCACCTTTAAAGTTACAAATTGCCTGATCTGTTTTAAATTAAATATAGTGAGTTTATATGCTGTTCTTGTTTTGTAGGCGAATTGACCCTGAGTTTGCTGACATGATCAGTCCAGAGGAGGCTTGTAAGTCAGGTGGAGTGGATGAAGATAGCAGCTACAGTGTTTTTGTCTCTTACATTGAGATTTACAACAACTACATCTATGATCTCCTGGAAGAGACTCCCTTTGACCCAATAAAGCCCAAGTAAGTTGGCTAATATGTTTTTACTGTATTTTTGATTCAATAAATACAGCCTTTGTCAGCATAAGAGCCTTCTTTCAAAAAAATGGTATCGACCCCAAATGTTTGAATGATAGTCTATATAAAAAACTACTTTGAGGTCAGTAGTACCAATTTGTGGGTAACCAATACTTTTTTAATTAAATATTTACTCGATTAAAATTTTACATTGAGAACTGACACAAAACTGATTTAGGTTTAGTCCCATTCATTTATTTCATTTAGTTATATCTATGCACTTAGTTTATAGATAATGTATTTTGTTTTTTCATTAGGTGGAATGGTGCAGGCACACCTCTGAGAAACAACATTGAGTTCATGTACGTGGCCAGTGAAATCCATTCATAGATGGACTTGCTGCCTTTTGATAATGATATTCTTTCCTTTGTGTAGCTGTTCTGCGCGTCCTGGCTTATGCTTTCAAGTGCCTCTAGGGTGTCTGTATGTGCTTTGTCTTGTGCTTTTGTTTTACTTGCTGGTAGGCGCCCATGCAGAGATTGAGCTTTGTTGCCTACTCTGTAGTTACAGAAATGTTATCATACTGTATTTCGCATTTCAGACCACCCCAATCCAAAATACTGCGTGAAGATCAAAATCACAACATGTATGTGGCCGGGTGCACTGAGGTTGAGGTCAAGTCAACAGAGGAAGCTTTTGAAGTCTTTTGGAGAGGTAAGCTGATGTAGATGTTAACTTTTTTTTTTCTTTTTCTTTTTTTATAAAAGTGTTCATATGATGCGATTTTCTATTTTTCCTTTCTCTTTGAAGTGTTACAAGCTCTTGGTGCATAAAGAAGATCTGTAAAGTTGCAAAGACTAAAGTCTCAAATCCAAAGAGATATTCTTTATGAAAGTTAAGAGTCAACCACGCCTACCTAAAACGGCTCGTTCTAACGCGCCCCCACATGTCTACGTCACTATGTGGGAAGATTTGCATAACACCGCCCAAATGTTCACGCAAAGAAAGAATGCGTAACTTTTATTCTCGCTGTAGTATTGTTGCTGCCGCCATGTCGTGAAGATGCCTGTGTATTGTTGTGAAAGCGAAACTACTTTGGCCTTCCAAAATAGGACGATATCCGCTTCGTCATGCCTAGAGCTGATCCGTGCTAGTCGCTGAGGAAATACATCAACTTCGTGCTGTGGATCGCCGGATCGGCTTTCACCGTGGACAAAGCGGAGTCCAGCCCGGGGTGGTCTCATGTGATTGCCACTCCTTCGTCGTTCTCGACCCCGCCGCCTCTGCTCACTCTAGCCTGGCCTCAGCTCACGCTA